AATCAACCCTTTCCCTCAGGCAACTTACATTCAGGGTGGTTGGCTGGCCTTCCAGTAGATGCAGCACCCTAAAAAACTGAATCTCAGACACTGATGAGCTCTACAAAAGCGTATTAATACAGGGTAAGAAACTGAAGACTGGCTGCAAGGAAGGTTCTCCCTTTGGGACAATCTGTTAGCTAAGAATCAAGAACAATAAACACTACTACAGCAATGGACTGCAACCTAATAAAGAGCCAGGCCTGCTGGAAGGGGAGATAGCAGCTGTGGCCCACTGTACAGCCAGAAGCCAGAAGGGTACACAGCCGGAAGAAGCTCTGATTAAACCAGCTTCCCAAGGCAGGTCTCAGGGATACCGTCACCAGTACAACAGAAGGAACCTGGAACCTTCACCAAGACATCAGCTACTTGAAGCTGACCTGTGTGGACTGTCCACACAGGTGTGTGTGGCAGGACCATGTGCCATGTCTCTCTGCTCTCCATATAGCAATTGGTTTACATACAGACTACATCTCACAGGTGAAGACTGTGAATCAAAGAAGCAGTGGATGGTAGAGCCGCAACTCAGAGGCAGGCTTGTGGCTGCCAGGAGCAGCAGTGGAGGTGAGCTAGGGCCACAATGGTGAGGCCCTGAAGGGTGGTCTGCAGACTGTTGTAAGCATAGGAGAAAGATGGTGGGGAGGGACTGGGCTTTTCTGACAGGCTCTTAGATATGACTATGAAAGGATGGAACTTCTGAGGAAAGCCCCCACCAAACTCTGCTTGTCTGCACTGATAAGCCAAACTCCCGCAGCTTCAGCCCATAAAAAGATTCTTAAGTGAAATTCCTTAAGAGGATGATCCTGAGTAGAATGCCTTGGAGCTATCAAAGCAGGCTCTGGACCAGCAGTATCAGATTACCATCCATCTGCATAGAAATGCAAATTCCGTGGCCACTCCTCAGACCTGCTGAATCTGAGATCCAATAACCTGGGTTCCTTCTCAACTCCACTTTCTCTCTCTCTCTCTCTCTCTCTCTCTCTCTCTCTCTCTCTCTCTCTCTCTCTCTCTCCCTCCCTCCCTCCCTCCCTCCCTCTCTCTCTCCTAGTTATTGGGTCTCAGAACCCAGAGCCTCACACATGCTAAACAATCTACCACCGGTGGCCCACTAGCTTGCACTATCAGCATTTGGTCTTAACCTTTCAGGTGAGTCAACTCTACTCAGAAGCTGAAAGGAAATGTGCACGCCGCATGCCAACTCTGCGAAGTTAAGCTGCCCCTCTCCTGAGCAGCCCTGCATCGCATCGGTTCACACAATCCCTCCCCTAGACCCTGCTGGTGGGCTCCTGTGCCTGCAGAGAACCCTCACTACTGCCCCAATCCATTTCTCTTACCAATTTGATTTCCTGGATGTATTTACTAGTCAACTGTCCAGGCCACACAGTCAAGGTAAAACAACGCCTCCTTCCTTCTGGGATCTCATTCCACTTTCACAGTCCTGAGCAGACAACAAGGACACTGTGGGCATTCACCTAACTCAGCTTTCCCAACACACTTGATGCCACTTGCGGTCTTTTACCCACTTGTCTCTCTTTTCGATAATACATTACAAGAAATATCTGTGCCCTTGGCATTCCAGGGACCTCACTCAGGGCTAGACATGTCAATGACAGCAAACATAGACCCCTTTGCTGTCCTCGAGAAACTGTCCCACTGGGAGGAAATGGCCAGATACAAACAAATAACTGCAAACGATACACACACCAGAAAGGCCTGAGAAGGTCCCTGGGCTGAGACCGACATGATGACAGACAGGCCAGACAGTAATTTTTGACAGGAAATAGTTCCATGCTGGATCTATGACCAACTCTAACTGAAGTTCCTTACATACATTGTCCATGTTAGTATCCAACCACCGTGCACCAAAGTAGTAGTCTTGTCCAACTCCAAGAGGTTAAAAGAAACAGGGAGAAAACAACGGGGTGGGGGGACAAAACAGCCAAGATTCAGGCAAACAGAATGGCTCCAGAGCCCACCTGCTAGGTCACAGCTGAATGAGGGCAGGATGAAATGTTGAGTTTGAAGGAGAAAAGGCTGGCAGGTGTCTGGGTAGATCAAGACCGACAAATACAAGAATTCCAGGAAAGAGAAAAGTTAGACTAAAGCCAGAAAAGGATCTGAGCAAGTGGTGAAACGCAGAAGTATCAGATGAATTAGAAATCCAAACCATTCCCGAAGCAGACCAGGCAAGCCACACTGGTGAATATATAGTATTCCTAAGTAGATAAGCTGTAAGGACTAGAGAAAGACTCCTACTTCTATGATTCCCCATTTTTAAAGTTTGGAGGGGAGTCCATGTGTAGATGACAAAGTATTCTACCACCACATTTAATAAAGTCTAAAGGGAGGCCAGGGAACTGCAAGCTTGTGAGTGAATTCGATCAATTGATGAAGCAGGTTAACGGATCTTCTTTTCATTATGTCTCCACACAGTCCTCACGAAGGAGTCCACTCGGTAGCCTGGGATCCTATTTCCGGAACATTCTTATCACTTCTTATCAATACAAACTGCATAGATAGCAATAAGGCAACTTTGGTTCAGTTAGGAATAGGGATTTTCTTACTCAAATATGAGGAAAATTTTTTCATAAAGTTCTACCTTGTTTTTCCCTGAAGAGCACAATTAAACTAGTTGACTAGTGAGAAGTGATCCAAATTTGCCAACCACTAAGATTCTCAACCACAATCCAAACTCACCACTGTCAAACCAGAAGCCTGCACTTCCTCCATTAAATTAATAATTTAGCTAGATGTGGTGCAGGCCTATGACCTCAGGACTTTGGAGACAAGAAGATCTTGAGTTCAAGATCAGCTTCGGTAGATCAGTGTGACCTTTCACAAACAAATCACCACAGCTCTCTGATGGATAATGGTATAGATTTGGTCTCCTTCAAATATGTGTAATTGTGTATCTTGTGTTTGCATGTAATAACGTGTGTGTGTATGTCTTATACAATCATATACATACTGCAGTACACTGCAAAAATCAAGACCGTTCAGAAAGCACAATACAGTTTCTCTACAGTTAATAAAAGGATAAAATCACTGGTTGTACAAGGATAGGGTGGAAGTTTGAGGTAGTAGTATAATACATAAATAACTGAAGCTTAGGAATCTGCTCGCCAGCAACCAAAAAAACAGCCAAGCACCTGTTCCATATTGTACCCAAATTTGACTACAGCCACATATAACTCTCTCCTCAAGAGAGATAGAATATCGGTCGCCTGGGGGAAAGTGAATCACGAGAGTAGCGGGGCAAGTCATCCCAAGCACAGTGTTGGTTTGAATGAGTACTGCACTGATAATCCAATGGATGCTTATTCACCACACACTTCAGAGAAATCAAGTGCTTCTGGGCTTCAAGCATCTTATTTTCTCAAATCAAAGTAGAAAAAGTACCCTCTACAGTCACTTCTTCCAGTTTTAGATTTCTAGAAAGTGACCCAATATCCAAAATTATTCTTTCCAGGATCCAAATCCTGAAGTGACTGTCATCTGTAAAAATAAATGCTAAACAAGCACACATGCTACTCCAAGCCACCAACCATAAGCGAGGGAGCTGCCTTATTACGTCACTCTCCAGAAAGACATAGTGAGACATTAATTATAAAATGAGAAAAGTCAACAAATGAACATCCCTATCCCTACCAAAACTTTTTAAATGTTCTGCTAGTAATGCTTAGATCATCTTCCTATACTTGGTCCTTAGAGTCTCTATTCTTTCCGGATCTTAGGAGCTGCAGAACATGCTACCCACCTGTAAACTTCCCAGGCATCTTCAATTCTTAATTACCCCCCTGATCCTCAAACTCAATGGGATAAGGCCAAAAGGAATTGCTCATGATGATTTCTCAAACGCATTATTAGCCAGTCTGGGCTGAGCCTCTACTAATGAGACAGATACATTTATCAAAATAAAAGCCTGAAAGAACTCTTGCAAAGTCCTCTTGTGAAATCAGTGGACATGCAAACTTTTAGTAGAGTTTCCAGGCTCACAGGAAATAGACTACAAGGCCGGTTCATGTTTAACTATAGAAAAGAGAAGACGGGTGGGCAGTAGCTGGCAAAGTCTCAAGGGACAGCTGGGGAGCAGGTGAACCAAAAAAGAAAAGATGGGCAAGTCTCTGGGAAAACTGTATAGCCAAGGGCGATCGTTATGGCTGGAGAGTTGTTACATAATTACTTGTTAACTCCTGACACATACCTACATAGCTTATACTAACCACTGGAACTACTGTATGTCCAACAGCCATGGTTTCTCCAATTAATTTCATTCAAAGAAATAAGTAATCCTGGAAGCTATTCTTTTCTAAGATAACTTGCCTGCCTTTATACATACAAAACACCCTCCGGGAAAGCCAATTGCCTCTCTAGAAACAAATTTCGGTGTTTCTCTTTAATATTGTTTTCTTAATTTTTTTTAAAGGAGAGAGATACAGAAGTACATTCACAGAGCCAAATATATGATCACCTCGCTAAAAAACGACTTCCATTCCAAACTGGAGGATGTGAAAAGGGTCCCTCCCCCATCCGTGCCTATACCGCTGGCGCAAAACGCAAGACCACAGTGTCCGATGCACTGCATTCCAGCATTTGTCAAAAAGTTTACGAGGATTTATCGAAGCGACGGAGTAAAAAACAATAAAACAAGCAGAAACGGAGGAAAGCGAGCAGGAAGACGCTAGCGAGGTAGAAGCGGTAAAGCGCCCGGCGGCGCAGTGCAAGGCCCGACAACCGGGAAGCGACCCAGCCCCCCGCAGAGCGGTCGCCCAGCGGAGCGCGGGGGTTGACAGGCTCCGGGTCTCCGTAGCCCAGGGTCCCTGATACCCCAGTCCCGGCCCCGCCTCCGATCCCCTCCCCAGCCCTTCCCCCGCAGCGCCGCGGACGCCCGCCGGGCCAGCTTGGCCCCGGGTCAGCGCTGCGGAGCGCCGCACAACCGCGGAGGCCGCCGGCGCCCTTACCTCCTTCTGCTTAGGGTCTTGCGGGTAGACGTCGGGCGGCCCGAGCCGCGGGCGCTTCAGCGGTCTCTGCTCATAGCTGAGAAGCCCGAAGGCGGCCATGATCTCTCATGTTAACCGGCGAAATGAATGAGAGTTGGAGCTGGAGCAGCCGCCTCTGAGCACCAGGGAGCAGCACTTTGCAGACAGACTCCCTCTTCCCTCCACTCTGGCTCGCCGTGGCGCTGCAGGCAGGAGAAAAAGCAGGTTGGAGACGGCCGCTGCCGGCGCGCAGACGCGCTCAGGGGGGGCAGCCTTCGTGGGCACCCCGCTGTGCCGAGCCCCGGGACGCCTGCTCCGCGGGCGGCGGCGGGGCTGGAGGTCGGCCAGGGTCCGCCGCGGCGCCGGCCTCCCGCCACCCCCACCCGGTCCCCAGGGGGAGGAGCAGCTGATGGGAACGTGTGACTTTCTTCACCAATGAACCCAAACCCACCCAGAGGGGCACGAGCTGGGGTGGGGGAGGGGCATAAAGGGGGAAAAAACTTTTCTTGGCGCCTAGGCGGGAGGCTCGGTGCCTGCCGAGGGCTAGGCGTCCTCGGGCCCGCGAGGCGCTGCGCAGCGGCCCGCGCCCACTTCCTGGCTCGCCGTGCCCCGCGCCCGCAGCTTTGCACCGGGAGGACCCGCGGAACCGCGGGCGCGGAGGGGAGAGAGGCCGCGAGAGGCGAGGATGCGGACGCCGAGCGAGGCCGGTGCCTCCGGGCTCAGCCGGTGCACGAGCTGCGCGGGTCCCCTCGGCGGCGCCGGAGCGCTTTGCTGGCTGCCGGCTGCAGCGGCCGCGGCGGCTGGAGGGGGCCGCGCTCGCTGTGGCGCGGGGCCGAATTAACCCTTTGCTGGCCCTCCCGGGGCTGGGGAGGGGGTGAGCAGAGGTGGCCGCGAGCACCGACGGACACATCGGGAGCGCGGGCGACTCGGCTACCCGGGCCACCCCTAGACGTCGCGCGCCCCGATCCCCACCCCCAACAGTTTACCTGTTGGTCCCTAGCTAGCGGCTAGGCAGGCGGCCGGGACGCCCTGGCGGCCGCAGCCTCCATCGCTCCGATAGGGTTGGGGAATTGGATTTGACGTTACCAGGTGTCTGGCTCGCCAGCCTGCGGACGCCGCGAAGTTTGCGGCTGCCTGGGGGCGTCGCTCGCCGTCGCCGGCGTTCTCGCCCCCACGGCCCGGGAGCGCGAGCTCCCGAGTTGGCGGACGGCGGCGCGGCGGCCGCACTGAGCATGCCCAGCTTGGCGGCCGGACCGCGGAGGAGTTGGCTGCGAGCGCCTCGAGCGCTCCCATCTGCCTCTCCGGGTTTTCGCAGCCGCAGAGCGCGCAGTCCACGGGCCCTGCGCCCCAGCTGGCTGCAGGGTTAACCTGGCTGTGGAACCAGCACCAAGGAGGGACCCTGGGCCTCGAGCTGCGCCCTCCGCCTCGACCCCTCCTGCGGTCGCCATCCCGGCAGCCTAGGCGAAACCTCACCTGCTCGCATCACAGGGATGGGAACCGCGGGGAGGGGGCGATCCGTTCGGGGGATCTGGTCAATCAACCTGCCGGCGCCCCTTGCTTGCTCCAGGTAGACACACAGATGACGGGCCACCAGCCGTGAGCATTGAGACCTAGCCTCGGAGGCGGGCCCGTTGTGTCCTAAGGGACCCTGCAGGAGGCGCGCCCAGGAGAACGCGCCAGCACTTGGCCAAGAATGATGGCTGCCATTTATGGAGTCTTCCTTTGGTTATATGATCTTGATGGTGTGAATTTGCTCCTGACAACAAACCTCCCGTGGTTTTACTTCACCCTCTTTATAAATGAGGAAATTGTGTCCGCTCGGAGAGGTTAGATGACTTGTTCAAAGCTGCAAAAGCTAGTCGGAATTTGAACCTACCACTGCTGGAGCTCAGGTTTCTGACCTCACCCCTCTGCTTTGATCGGGAAGGGCTGTGTGCTTGATTTGCCCTTGGCCTGATTGTGTCACAGTCCCCATAACTTGAGGAATGTGTTGGACTCCTAGTACCCGCCTCTGGAGAGGATGTACACAGAATAACCTGCAGCCTTTCTATAGTACCTGGTACATGTTCATGATATACGAATGTCTGTCTACTCGCTTTGCTGGCTTTAAAGCACCGGAGGAAAGGAAGGAGTGGATAAGGCGATGGCATTGTAGAAGACTAGTTCTTCATTGCTCACCCTCTGAACCACAAGTTTCTCCAACCTAGCTTAAAACCTAAATGGGGATGTATGGGCTGAATCCATTACTCAGTCTGAGCTAGGCTTCCTACAGTATACTTGCCTTAACCAAGAGGTGCTTCTTTCCACTGCCCACCTTGCCATGAGCATTTCTCTTCTAATACCCTATATATAATAACTTCATGATGCAGTCTGCCTTGGTGTTATAGGCATCTGTCAAATCCAGCTCCTTTGCTTGGAAGAAAATACAGTTTTCATTCAAATCTAACTCTATTAGGAACTTTATCAAGCATACCGAAAAGTGAAGAAAGTATAAATCCCGAGTGTTTATCATCTGTAATGATGTTTCACCTTTTTTTTTTTTTTTTTGGTTTTTCGAGACAGGGTTTCTCTGTGTATCCCTGGCTGTCCTGGAACTCATTCTGTAGACCAGGCTGGCCTCGAACTCAGAAATCTGCCTGCCTCTGCCTCCCAAGTGCTAGGATTAAAGGCGTGCGCCACCACCGCCCGGCATGTTTCACCATTTTTATTCCACATCGTTTCCCGGTTCTCAGTGGACTAAGGTACCCACTGATGAAGTAAGGACAACATTCTCGTTATTGCACAAGGTGCACTGCATGGCACTTGGCACACCTCAAAACCCTGTTAATTTGTGGCGTAGATAATAGGAGGTCGGATGGATAAGTGGGAGGTCATCCAGTAATACTTCACAGGTGGTATATTATACCACTCTATCTGATCTCCATACTGTGCTGAGAGACAGGCCTTACTCTGTTCTATTTTTGACCACAGTAACTTTTATAAAAGAAAACTTTTAATTGGGGTTACCTTACATTCAGAGATTTAGTCCATTGTTGTCATGGGAGGAAGCATGGCAGCAAACGGCAGACATGGTGCTGGAGATGTAGCTTAGAGTTTTGTATCCTGTCTGGGAGGCAGCAGGAAAAGACAGACCCTGGCCCTGGCTTGAGAAGTTGAAACAGCAAAGCCCACTGCCCTCTCGGGTACACACTTCCTCCAACAAAGCCACACCTACTCCAACAAGGCCACACCCATTCCAACAAGACCAGGCTTCCTCATCTCAAGTAGCGTCATTCCCTAATGACTAAGAGTTCAAATATTTGAGCCCAGGGTGGGCATTCCTATTCAAACCACCACAATAAACAAGGCAAAATAACCCAGTGAAACATTTTTGCACAGGTCTCCCTTGTCTGTGTACCTTCTATGCAGACATTTTGTAGCAAAACCCTCCCAAACCTGTGCCTATTATCATCGTCAATGCACTGCAGGCATTGATTATCATTATGTAGCACATGTAAAAGAGCATCAGAAGACAAAGTGTAAGAGAAGAAACTCCTAACCCTTTGCTGTGCTATAGCAGTATGCTTTCCCTCAGGTGTAAAGGAACAGTTCTCAGCGCAGTCCCTGTAGTTGCGGTAATTAAAGTTGCTGGGTTTTCTCGTGGGATTGATGCTTGTCCAGGTGTATACAGTACTGTGTTTTGTTACCAGCTTAGCTGCGGGCAATCTTGCTTACTTTGAGTTTTTCTTATATCCCAATTACGTTTAAATGCATACATCTGGATCAAAAAAGAAAATTTCATGCTTTTCTTTTAGTCAAAAAAGGAAAGAAAGATAAAAGAGAGAGAGAAAGAAGAGAAGGAAAGAAAGAAGGAAGAAAGGAAAATAAACTGAGAGGGCTGGAGAGATGGCTCAATGATTAAGAGCATGCACGGTGCTTCTGGAGGACCAGCACACGTGTCTGGCAGCTCATAACTGCCTCTAACTAGTTCCAGGGAGATGCAGCAGCTCTGGCCTCCCCAGGTACCTGCACTCACAGACACACCCACATGCATACACATAAATAAAAGCCAATAAATATATATTTTAAATAAACACAGAAGGTCTAGAGCTGTAAAGCACTTACCTAGCCTTTGCTTTTGGATTCAGCTGATTCACATAATGAGAAAACAAGACAAATAAAAAAAATTGGGTATTGGCTTTGGCAACACATATACTAAAATAGTGTCACAGAGGAAGTTGTTAAATTTTAACAAAGGTATTAATTTTGGAATGTTACATTCAAATGAAGTTTTAATCATTTTTGTTCTTACAGAAATGAAAGGATATCATCATTATGACTCAAGCAACAATGACCAGTATAATTCTATTGCTAGCTCAGTACATGGTTTCAATTTTCCTAATAGCCATATTTTAAAAAGATGGAATTAATTTTGTCAATCTAGTAATTTGGCCCAGTGTAGCTAAAATATTGTGATTTTTAATGTATGGGCCATATTTTTTTTAAAAAAATTATGGAGCTGGTGTAAAGGCTCAAATAGCACCAGTTTGGTGCCAAACCTGTTGCCCTAAAGTCAATTCCTAAGACCTACATGTCAGAAGGAAAAAAAACAAAATCCTGCAAGATGTCATCCTCAGACCTATACCCACCCACCAAGGCATTCAAGGTCCAAGGATGAGCACATCTGTGAACATACACACTAAAATAAGTATTAATGAAATAAATGTAATTTTTAATGAGTGATATATTTGTTTTAGATTAAATCTGGTATGCATTTTATATTAACAACATACTTCATTTTCAGACCAGCACACCCAAATGCATCTAATTCTGTAACATACAGGATTTTTTTTTTTTTTCTGAAACAAGGTCTTTTGTAGTACAGGTTGATGAACTTCCAACTTTTCTGCCTTTACATCCTAAGAGCTGGGATTACAAGTGTGTGCCACTATTTATGTAGTGCTGGGGATTGAATCTAAAGATCCACTCATGCTAAGCAAGTGCTATGCTGAGCTCCTTCCCAAAGCTCATACACAGGATCTTAATAAGATACTGAAGAAAAAGATAGGTTGCCAAATTAAGAGAACTAAGAGAAAAATGAAAACATAAAGAAGAAGAAAGAACTCAGAAAGACAGGAGGTACCCAAAAAGCAATTGGCTGCTACACAGATGAAAGCTTCAGAGGGGCAAGGAGTAAGATAAACTCGGGGCTTGAATGGGTAAAGAGTTCTCAAACAGGAAATTGAACTAATGACAAAGACTAAAACTTAAACCTTATCTCCCAGACAAACAACATCAGTATTGACCAAGCTCACGCTCTGCTTTTCAGCACTGGAATCATAATTTGTCAGGTAACCCAGAGCTGTCTCTACTCTACAGATTAGACAAATGCTGAGATACTCAGGAATCCAGTAGGAAATCCAAAACGTGGCTTACTGATACACTGGGGTTCACAGCTCCAGAGACTTATACCCCTCCTTTTCTCATCACCTCCTTACTAATCTTAATGATGAAAATGGGTGAGTATAAAATTAAAATGGAATTGGGTCTCTCCAAGAAGCAATCACTCAGTCTGCTCCACTGTAGAACTATGTACCCTTGTGACAGGAAAGAGACACAGCCTATATGTTAGCCCAGGGGTTGCATCAGTGAATATACATGACAGCTAAGTATCACCTAACACTTTTACTATTTATTTCCTACCAGAGTTTCCCAGGGTTCACAGACACATTTTGCGTTTTGTTATTTGTTATGGGGAGGGGTATTTTTGCTGTTTTGTTTGAGATAAGGTCTACCTATTTACGTCAGGCTGACCTTGAAGTCATGATCCTCCTGTCTCAGCCTCAAAAGTGCTGGAATTACAGGTATGTGTGTGCCACCACATGTAGCTCACAAAAAAAAAAAAAAGAAGTTTTTGCTTATCTGTTTTGATTTGCACTGTCATTTCTGGCCTCTTTAGGGAAATCTTCTGACACTAGGTCCACATTCACCAGAGTTAGTGTCAGTGATATTCTTTCTTTGAGAGCAAGATAAACAAAATCTACCTGGCTTTTTAAAGTCCCAATGCCGTACTGAGGTATGTTCCTATAGTGT